TGGAGTCTGCTTTTGGTCCAGCTCTTAAAGCCTCGCTTATGCTTATGGTGTGTGAGCTTCTTCACATAGCAATTTGAATTTTACATTTGGATAAAATTTATCACCAATTATAAAAGCAGTGTGTTAAGTTTTGTATTCCTTGAGTAATTGGCTATTAAGTACTTCATTATGCAGTTCCAAGAGTCTGGTTGTTCATTTACTTTGCATTAACTTATGTCCACGAGTGTGCTTTTGCAGAGCAACCTTGGGGGAAAATTGTTAATTTTTCAAAATACACTGCCATCTCTTGGTGTTGGTCGCTTGAAGTTGCGTGGAGATGATCTTCGTGTCTATGGCTCTGATAAAGAGCATCCACTAAGACTACCAGAGGATCCTTTCTACAAGCAGATGGCTGCAGAATTTACCAAGTTCCAGATAGGTGTGGATGTATATGCCTTCAGTGACAAGTACACGGATATAGCTTCATTAGGTACATGTTTATAGTTTAATCATATTCTGTTCCAATTTCATAGAACCAAAGATCAAGATGATGTTGACAGGTAGTAGGAACTTCTGATGATACTTCTCTACATTAATATGTTGAGAACTCTTATCTTATCCACCAATTTTGTAGTTGTTGCCCTTGTGGGGAAATATGCTATAACCATGGTTTTCTCCAATTTATTGCATTAACTGTTCTCCTAGAATATTGTAGTGTTTCTTCCTTGTAGTGAACACTATTGAAGAAAGAATCTGAATTTACATATTTGAAACTTTTACTATCTTGTTTGTAGTTCTTGTTTCCAGTAGCTATTAATAGACCCATATCAGGGTGTGAGCTATATTTATTACACAGCTAAAAGTTGTATAGTGTATAACTGCTATGGTCTTCCAAATGTAGGTACTCTGGCAAAATATACCGGGGGTCAGGTGTATTATTACCCGAATTTTCAATCTACCATTCATGGATATAAGTTGAAACATGAATTAGCAAGAGATCTTACTAGGGAAACTGCCTGGGAAGCAGTGATGCGCATAAGATGTGGGAAAGGTCTGCCATTGATGATTCTCCAGAACGACCCCTTTGTGCTCACATAAATATGTTATTTTGCCTGTGTCGGAAATATGCTAATGTTTTGTTGTTTGTACTTGTAGGAGTGCGCTTTACGTCTTATCATGGGAACTTTATGCTAAGGTCCACAGACTTATTAGCACTTCCTGCTGTAGATTGTGATAAAGCATTTGCGATGCAGTTATCTCTTGAAGAGACGCTACTAACTATTCAGACAGTATATTTCCAAGTTGCCTTGCTGTATCCTTCCGCTTAATGATCGATTTTAAGTTTTATCTACAGATAGACATCCCGTATGGTATTGCGGTGCTTGTTTTTCTTTTGATTATTCACAAATCATTTCCTTCTGATGTTCTTTTTCCTAAGTTTTCTTTTCAGTTGCATAATAAAGTTGTTTCATTCTTTATACTTTGATTATTCACACATACTCTCTAGTTTAAGTTGTGTTGGGGGAAATTTCATAATGATATTTGTAAGGTTATTGATGGGTGAAGTGTCCTTAACGTTTTAAAGATACACTGCATCCTGCGGAGAGAGGCGTATTAGAGTACATACAGCAGCAGTACCGGTGGTTACAGATCTGTCTGAGATGTATCGGCAGGCTGATACTGGTGCCATTGTCACCTTGCTTTCCAGGCTAGGTGGGTAACTGAAACTCTATGTTAGTACTGTGGTTTGTTTTGAACATCAGTGGTTCTTATTTTTCTGAATCAAATTGCAGCAATTGAGAAAACTTTGTCCCATAAGTTGGAAGATGCTCGGAACTCTTTGCAGCTAAGAATTGTCAAAGCCCTCAAAGAATTTCGAAATCTCTATGCCGTACAACACCGCTTAGGAGGGAAGATGATATACTCAGAGTCTCTGAAGTTCTTGCCTTTGTATGGATTGGCACTTTGTAAATCAGCACCTCTTCGTGGGGGGTATGCAGATGTGTCACTTGATGAACGTTGTGCGGCAGGGCACACAATGATGACCTTACCAGTTAAAAAATTGTTGAAGCTCCTATATCCTAGTTTAATACGGCTCGATGAGTATCTTTTGAAGGTAATATAATTCCATTCACTTAAAAGTTAAAACTTGAGTGATGTCATTTCACAATCGTGAAATTTGTTTCCACTTGTATTTGTAGGCGTCTTCTGAAGCTGATGACGTCAAAATCATAGAGAAGAGGTTACCATTACTTGCTGAGAGCTTAGATTTCAGAGGCCTTTATATATTCGATGATGGGTTTCGCTATGTTCTATGGTTTGGTAGAGTTCTTCCACCTGATATAGCTAAGAATCTACTTGGGCCTGACTTTGCAGCAGAGTTATCAAAGGTATGATAAAGCCCCATTTTGATAAAGCCCCATAAAGACAAAGTAGAACAAAAGAAGTATCATGTCTAAACATTCATCATTACTTTCTGCGTATTCTTTGTTTTGTGACTTCAATGCATGTTTTATATAAGATATCTGTAGTTTAATTTCTTAATCTCCGTCCCTGCTGCATTATGCTGGAATTCAAATACACCCAAGCTCCCTATTACAGAAAAGTGTTATAAGAAACATATAATTGTCAATATGGCTGGCTTATGCACAGCTGACTAAAATGTTTCCCAAACAGCCTTGAGAATGCCCCTCTTTTCCTTCCCTAGTTTATATGACTTTAGTATATCACATTCTTTTCTTTTATCATTCGGATGACCCAGTACTAGCTCTATGGTTTTACGTAAGAACTGTATTGGATTCTTATTCTGTGATCAGCCTTTGGTTTAGATATTGTTGGAGAGATCTTTGTAGTCCAAACCTTTCTTGAAGTTGCTAACGTTGGCCCAAGACTTCTTTGCTTCCCCTCTTTTTCTGATTTATTTTTATCTTGTAACTTGTTGAACTGGCATTGTTTAGTACTCTCGATTACTGTATTCTTATTGTTTTGGCTGATCAGGTTACCCTTCGTGAGCACGATAATGAAATGTCAAAGAAGCTAATGAGGATACTAAAGAAACTTAGAGAAAGTGATCCTTCATATTACCAGTTGTGTCATCTTGTAAGACAAGGTGAGCAGCCCCGAGAAGGCCATCTTATACTCGCCAATCTTGTTGAGGAGCAGATGGGTGGAAGCAATGGTTATGTTGATTGGATAATACAAGTACACCGGCAAGTCCAGCAAAATCCGTAATGTAGAGGTAATGACTGCCATGAAATTATGGCATTTATTAGATGTTGCTTCACACTGAGATAATCAGATTCAAAATGCTTGTGCTCTAAGATTATCACCGCTCACAGCTCTTTTACTTTCAATCTGGCAGGATGTTTATTAAGCTGATAAGATGCCTCATCTGTAGAGTGGTCGAGCATTATTTACCTGGAAAAAATAGTGATGGAGCATTATTTTGAATTCAGCCATGGGAGCGTCCCCTGCTCGTCGTGGATGTCCGAGTTGAAGAATGGGTGGTTACCATGCACAGATTTTTGGACGATTCGGTATTTCATCATCATACGACGGAATAATCAAAGGAGATGTACTGTAGCCATATAATCTCGAGTCATCGTCATCGTCGTCTTTGTGTTAGGAAGAAACACGCGTAAATTTTTTGTATGTGATATCTTTGTTAGCAATTTCCCTGCTTTGTTATAATTCCATATTCCCCCCCCCCCCTTCGAGCTGATTGTTTAGTGAGAGAATATAAGTGGTGTGATGAGTAACCACCAAGATTTGTTGGATTTTGTTGTATTTTCAATTTTCCTTGGTCAGATGTTAAATTTTGTTGAGAAAGAGTTGCATTAATACTTACTTCATTTGTGTTGTTCACGTGTTAGGCTTGAAAATTCGTCATACGTGAGGTGAGAATAAATCTCACGTTGATGGGGAGAAGACATCTTGCATAAACTTATAAGAAGTTGGACTACCTCATAATATCAATGATTTTACAATGAAACCTCAATTTTTTTCACTGACTACCCTTTTATTCTTGTTCTCAACATATCTCATCTCCACTCTTTTTCTTACCAGTGAGGAAGGCAAACAGTGAAATAGTGCAAAATAAAATATAAATTGAAGTGGACGAGCAGGAACTGTTGAAATTTACTAGTTTATTCAAGAAATTAATTAGAGGTTTGATTTGTTTTGTATTAGGGTATTTTTGGTATTTATGCATTAGGTTTTCTAAAGTTTATGTCGTTATAAATATATCTTGTAATTTAGTTTGAAAAATAAGTAGTTCACAATGTAGTGTCTTGGGTTATGTAGTCATCGTGAATTGTTATTAGAAGTCTTTTCTATCACTTTTGCTATACAAGTCGCTGTAGTCATTAACAATGTAGTCTCTTGGATTATGTGGTCATCGTGACAATCTTCTTTCAGTTAGTATACTATTAATGAGTAATGCTACACTTACTACCTAATTGTACTATCATGTGCACCATCTCTGATAAAGATTGAGTCCGCCACCGCATGTGGGTCTCATTTCTATTAGAGAGATGATACAAATTATGGTACAACTAAATTGTAAGAGTAGCATTTTTTATTATTAATTTGTGGTAGATTTGTTCTTCGGTTTATTGGTTTGTTATTCTTCGTCACTCTGATTTTCAAGTACAACTTTCTATTTTAGTTTAAAGTTTGAAATGAAAATAATAATAATAATTTTCACGAATTAGGTTTGGAATAATTTGTTGGAATCAAAGGCATATTAATTCTTGGTTAACCCGGTTCGATGACAATTCTTATGTGAATCCAGTAGCATTCTTTCAGTAAGCAAAGGCATATTCTTGGTTGGCCACTAAGAAATGGTTGAAGTGGTTGATCTTAATATCTTCCAGAGACATCAATTGAGAGAAGTAAACCCTAGTTAGAATTCCTTATTCCACAAGAATTGTAATTTAACCTAATTTAGGAATCCTAATCCTTGTAGTCCAAAGCTAGTGATGTATATATAAAGGGCTTACTACGTTTAGTTCAATAGTAAAAGTATATTCTGACTCTACTTCTATGGCTCAAAAGGAAGCAAAGGCTTCTGAAGAAGCCAAGCCCCCGTCCCCGGCGGAGACATCCATGATTATTGCTTCAACCGCAGCTCCGGCGGCTCCGGCGGCTCCTTCATGGTTCACGCCCAAGAGGCTACTCGTTATATTTTGCTTGATTAACTTGTTAAACTATGTGGATCGAGGAACAATAGCAAGCAATGGTGTCAATGGGAGCCGCAAAACTTGTACAGAAAGTGGTGTATGCACGCCTGGTACCGGGATACAAGGGGAATTTAACTTGAACAACTTTCAAGATGGGGTTCTGTCATCAGCTTTTATGGCTGGACTTCTTATTGCTTCTCCTATATTTGCATCATTAGCAAAGAGTGTAAATCCATTTAGGCTCATTGGAGTTGGATTATCAGTTTGGACCTTTGCTACACTTGGTTGTGGTTGTTCATTCGGCTTCTGGTCAATTGCTGTTTTCCGCATGCTAGTCGGTGTTGGCGAGGCTTCGTTTATTAGTCTTGCAGCTCCATTCATCGACGACAATGCCCCAGATACTCAGAAAACTGCATGGCTTTCTATATTCTACATGTGCATATCAAGTGGATATGCACTTGGTTATGTTTATGGTGGGGTGGTTGGAAGTCACACCAAGTGGCGCTATGCATTTGTTGGGGAGGCAATCCTTATGCTTCCATTTGCTATTCTAGGGTTTGTTATGAAGCCTTTGCAGATGAAAGGTTTTTCTCATCCTGAATCAAAAAAAGCACCGATAGCCGTGGAAACTGCTGTTGAAGAAGTTCAAGGTTCAGATATTTCGATGAAGGAAGACGTCGGAGATTCTACCATACAAAAGTCTTCCAATTCAAAAGTGAATCCAATTTCAAGGTTTATGAAAGATATGAAGGTGCTTTTGGGGGATAAGGTTTATGTTGTGAATGTTCTAGGTTACATAGCATACAACTTTGTCATAGGTGCATACTCATATTGGGGGCCTAAGGCTGGTTATAACATATATCATATGAGTGATGCAGATATGATATTTGGAGGCGTCACAATTGCGTGCGGGATATTGGGCACACTAGGAGGAGGCTTTCTTCTGGATTATATGACTGGCACCATCTCTAATGCTTTCAAGCTTCTTTCAATGGTAACATTAATTGGGGGTGCCTTTTGCTTAGGTGCCTTCTGGATGAAGAATTTGTATGCTTTCCTAGCTCTCTTCGCAATCGGCCAACTACTCGTCTTTGCAACTCAGGGTCCTGTAAACTACGTCTGTCTCCATTGTGTTAAACCTAGCATGAGGCCACTATCTATGGCGATTTCTACGGTTGCAATTCACCTTTTCGGGGATGTACCTTCCGCGCCTCTTGTCGGAGTTCTCCAGGATGCCATTAACGACTGGAGGGCGACTGCTCTTATTCTAACATCTATTTTCTTTCCAGCAGCTCTAATATGGTTTATAGGAATCTTTCTGCACAGCGTGGATAGATTTAACGAAGAAAGTGAGCATCAGATCACCACCAAAACCGAAACGTCAAACACAACACCATTGGATGAAGGGAAGAAGATAGAAACAATTGAATCGAACCATAAGACTTGATTTTTTTTCTTTTATATTTCGTTGCAACCTGTACTGTTTTCTTAGTCCTTTTCTTAGTTAAATGTTGATGATATTGTACTCACTCTCCTCTCCTTATGGCATCCTTTATTGACACTTGGTAGCGAATTTGGAATTAAAGATCTTGGTTCCCTAGCCTACACTATTTTCTGGGCATTGAGGTTCATTATTTACCGGAAGGCAGATTTGAGTGCCCTCCTCATCCCCTCCTATTTGTGCAGTCACAATTAAGCCATATCAACATTTTATATTCCTATTACTTTTTGTCTTATTATCTCTATAAAAAAAATTAATATAAAATATTGACGTGACTTAACTGTGACCGCACAAAATAGAAGGGGATGAGAATGGCACCCAAACAGGAGGGCAGACAATCTGCCTCCTATTCACCGAACTGGTCTACATCTCACTTGGACTAAATACACCATGAATCTTCTTAAGCTGTTTGAAATTAAAGATCTCCGATTCAGTGGTTATTGTAGAAATAATCTTTAACCAAAGGTTAAGAAAATGAACATTGTTCTTATGAAATTCGAACGATGAACGTACCTTACCTTATTCACAAGGGGTGAAATGTGCATTTCCTCGTAGGTGATGCAAGTATTGTATTATCCTAAAAACTAAAGATTTGCTTTTAGATTAAGCAATTTAATAAGAATTGTATGGTACCAAAAACGTTTATATATAAAAACAAATAAAAAACACAAATATTAACATATATATATATATATATATATATTATAAGTTATTGTTAACACTACAAAAATGTTATTCTGCACTTTATTGTTGGCGTTCGAAATTAAAAAGGATTTGTAAGATATTCCCAAAAATAAAAATAAGATGATGTAAACAATGAGTCAACAGACCTAACCCAATAATCAAGTAAAATTAAACTATACCCAATAATTACTTACAAAATTGCTTGTATCAAGTTTACTCTTTCTTATTTGACCAAAAAAAACTGATTACTCTTTCTTAAAAGCTTCTTATTTTCAAATGAGAGCACTTGTGCTACGGATCCTTTTCCTAGGGTCCTTTGATCGTGACGTTTATTGTACATCGTACGGTCAGTTTTCGTTAAATAATATTTATATTTAATTTTAAATTTTGAAATGATTTCTGACCGCACAATATACGATGAATGGTCACAATCACGGGATTCCCAGGATTCTAGGAAAATGATCCGGTGAGGATCTTTACCGTACTAAACATACTAGTACATTTATTGTTTTTTTTTAGGTCTACTAGTAGTTGCATACTTGAAAAAAAAAAATTCAACCACTTATATTGTGACACTTATTATACACTTCGTGTTTTTAGTATACTGAAAAACTGTATTACTACTGTATGTATTTTGTACTTGATTGTAATGTGTTGTGCTTCTAATTGATGAAGCTTGAAATGCGTTTTTCTTTTGCATAAGAGCCACGCGTCATATCTGGAACCAAACAAGTGGAAAAGCAAATGAGCTGTTGATTAACTATAGCGCACACCACCGCTACCGCTCTTCATGCTTAAACAATTCGAGCGCGAAAGAAAGAAAACCTCTGTTATCGATTTCCAGAAACTGAAACTGCTAAAGGGCGGTCGAGGAAGGAAGCTGAAATCAGTTTTGCATCCGCCTGTTCCACCAATTCCTTTCGGAGGTAATACTTCTCTCCAATAATAATTTAATTTTTAATTTTCGAATACGAAAAATCCCAGTTAAGTAGTAGGGTTGATGATGGTATGTTATGTCTTTAATCTTTATCATCATCCATGGTTGAATTCTATTTATTTTCGGTTTTTGTTTTTAGTTTTTTTAGAAGAAATACGTATTAAAGTTATGATTGTTCCTTTTTTGGAACAATTTCAGATATGGGAGATGACCAATATTAGCATGTTTTAAGTTGCAGTTCCTAGCTTCTGTCTAGTATTTATCAGTTTTGTTGGAGTTCTGAAAAGCGAAGATAGCTTAATGGCTCGTAAAAGGAAGGTGGACAGATTCACTAGTGTTACGGAGGGAGTTGCTCATCACATTCTTTCCTTTATTACTATCACCGACCTTGCTCGTTTCAGCTGTGTGTCCAAAAGATGCAGAGAACTTTGTCTGTCAACTCCGTCATTAGATTTTGATAAGTTTTCGCATACCAATACCGGATCTTGCGATAAACGATTGAGGTTGCTGGATTATTTGCATAGGTTCTTCGATCTTCGTGAGGATAATAAGATGGAAAAATTTCATATCTGTTGGTCGAGTCTCTCTCACCATAGTGAAACACCTTGCTTTTGTGATCATAATGAGAAAGCTAGAATGATCTCGTGGATCGAGAGCGCATTAAGGTGTAAAGTTGAAGTTCTTCATCTTGAAATCGATATCGATGATGTGACGCCCTTTGTACTTCCATCTTCCGTCTTTGTGTCTAGCTCATTGAGGTCTCTTTCGGTGAGCATGTGGTACTCAGCAATCATCAAAGTGCCCATACCATCTTTCTCTAGTTTGGAATACCTGAATATGGATTTACATCATGCGAATATAGATGAGGGGTTTTTCAAATGGATCTCATCGTCCTGCAAATGCATTAAGGAGCTACGCCTATCACATCACGGCGGGAAACATAGAGATATCACCATTGAAAGCTCGTCTTTGAAATCATTTACTATTGAAGACGTTCACGAACTTCATAATCTTACAATCTCTGGGAAGAACCTTGAAGATATACGTATATGGTGGAGTACTAGACGATGCAGATCATTAAATGTAATTGCCCCCAATCTTAAATATTTGGAGTGGATTGGGCATATGTATGAACTCAAGCCCCAGCTGGGGAGATTATTGTGTTTGGAAAAGGCGAGGATTAATCTGTTTTTTGAAGAAGACGACATTGACACAGTATATGAGTTTCTTTGTAATTTACGCAGGGTTAGGGCTCTTATACTACACGCAGAGATGATCGAGGTAAAATGAGAACATAATATGGTTTACCTTTGGCCAAATAATGTCCATTCTACTTTATTTTGGTAACACACTGCACATAATTTTTATTTTTTCCTCAAAAATATTGCAGAATCTGTTCGAAGGAGGTCTCTTGCCAGCGCCCTTCGACGATGTTTCACATTTGCAACTTGATCTTGGCAACTTTAGTAATGAGTTAGTACCGAGAATGGTCTTGCTTTTCAGGGGTATGCGTAATTTGAGTACTCTGTACATCAAGACCGACCAAGTAGAATATTACCTGTTGAAGGCCGCTGTAAGTAAAAGTTTGCATTTCCCGGCTCTCTCGAAGTACATTTTCCAGTTCATCAGTGTTGGAATCTGATTGTTATCTTTAAGTCTTGGATCTTGATCATGGTTATTGCTTTCTTCACATTTTTTGGAAATTCGCAATTGATCTATGCTTATTGCTTTTCAGTGTTCAAAATTCGGTATGGCGTACTGGGAATCCCGAAACCTTCTTTTCATTTCTCAGCTTGAAGAGGTGACTGTAGAGATCTGCAAGGACTCCCGCGGGTCTAACCTGATCAACTTTATAAGGTTTATCCTCAAGGATGCTGAGAAGCTGAAGAAAATGGTCATTGTTCATTCACCCCAGTGTGCAAAGTCGTCTCTCGATAAGTTGTCAAACAGCGCCAAGAGTTCGAATGCCAACGTTTTCTTTGAAGTCCGAGAATTCTGACTTATCAATTGGAGTAGTTCAGAAAAGGAATTTCGCACACTAATAATGAGCTCACAGACTAATAATATGGTTTTTCTAGTTTCTGTTTCAAGTGTTTTTGTATAAAGTTTACAGCTGTAATGGTACTTTTACTAATTTACTAAAATTTCAGTTTATAGGTGTGTATATTAGAATGAGCATCCTCTCATGATTCTTAAGTCGTGTTCGTTCATCGTATATTGTTTAATCAGGTTTTTTTCAAGAACAAAGTTTAATTTTAAATAAAAATATTTAAAATAATTTTTTACCGCACGATATACGATGAACGGTCACAATGTGAGGATCATCAGCCACGATGTGAGGATTTCCGAAATTCTCACAAAGAGGATCCGGAGAGGATTCTCATTCGTGCAAATTGTACTTGTTTGACTTATTTTCTACTGTAGCAAGTACGTGTAGAAAAACCGCACCAGGGTTTTACACGGGTTAAAGGTAGCTTTTTGGAACATGATTTTGACCCGTCAAATCTAAATGAAAATCTCGCATAAGTACTTGATTAAAAACTTATGAATCCCTCTTCAATCCTACGAAAAAAAAATTTGGAAAACAAACTTTGTAATGAAAGAAAACATGGATGAAAGAAGGGACTACGAAACTGAAGTTCTGAAATCTGCACCAAGAAAATTATGAACACTTGGCAACTTAAATTCTTTTGATTTTCCGGAGCATCAAATAGGATCATAAGAAAATCAAATAGATACTTAAAAGGTTTGTTTGCAGATCAAAATAGAGAAGCAAACATGATAAATCGAATTGAAAAGAATGAATCAAGACACCCAAAATTGAAATTCTTACAACCCTCTTTCTTTCTCTTCAAAGCTCTCGCTGTTTTTCTCTCTATTTCTAAAGTAAACTGAATGAACTTTGCTATGAAAATTCCTACTCAAACTTCATCTATTTGTAGGGAAATGTCATGATTGGAATCTAAAAATTAGACTTAATTTCCACCACCTGCTTCATAACTTTAGATTACTAAGCTATATAGAGTGCTTACAGAGCAATCTAAAACCACCATGGACTGCAACTAACAGCCATAGACTCCCCACAACACCCCTAGCTCATCTACCTCCTGCTTAAGATTTCCACTGTCTTCTTAAAATCCGCCACCTTCTAGTTAGATAGCATTCACTAGTCAGCCATGGAAGAAGATATTTAGCCTTCACTAGTCAGCCATGGAAGAAGATATATATGAAAGATGTAAGAAAGAAAGGCAGATGATACGAAGAAAACAAATTTCTCCTCTATATATGTTTTTTTGTAGTTTTAGGTTATATATAGGAATTGAAAAAATGGAATGTAGAAAGAGAAAACGGAGATGTTAAAATCACCACTTTAAATGTATAAATTGTTGGATAGTGGTCAAATTAGTGGCCAACTTGGCATCTACTTTCGGCTATTAAACAAAACAAAAGAATGAAAGACAAAATGATGAGAGAACATCATGATGAGGAGACATCATGATTATGTTTCCTTGTTTTGTGGTTTTTTCAAAGCCATAATTATTGGTTTTCTTCAATGGAAAATAAGAGAGAAGTGAGAGCTGCAGAGAGAATTGATAGCTCATTTTTCTGCAGAGAGCAGGGAGAGTTGTAGTGTAACACCCGCCCCCTAGTTATAAAAATATATGTTTGTAATTACCCCAAAATATTTTAAATATATCATTTTGGTCCTATTTTGACTACCAATCAGAAATTAAAGCTTTGGATTCTTTCTTCCTCAAGCTGCCACGTGGCAGCATCCCCTTCACTCCTCTCACTTCTCTCTCTGTCCCCCCCCCCCCCGCCCCCGCCCCCGTGAACCCCCTTCCTTCTTCTTCTTCTTTTTCTGTCTGTTCCGTCTCTCTCCCTCTCGGCTCTCTCTCATCTCTCTTCTCTCCCTCTCTTCACTAAATCGCACACACACCCACCAACACAACCACCTACTCGAGGTGGACAACACCACCTCTCCCGTCGTTACGAAGAACGGCGAAACCAAGAAAATAACCTCCGGCGAGTCCGACGGCTTTTGAGCCCATTTACGGCCAAACCACGAAGCGTTGGCCAGCGTGCAAGGTATCAATCTACTCCTCTCGTCGAGTACTACAACTTTCCTTTTTGTTTCACTCAATTTCGTTGCGTATTGAAGAAGTTATACTCATTTGAATCTTACCCAGTTTCCGGCGACCTCCGAGGCTTTCGAGGAATTTTCCGGCCAAACCACGGCGAGTTAGATGTCGTGTGAGATACCATTCTCTTCGTCTCTTCAAGGGCTATAACTTTCATTTTTGTCTCGCTTGATTTCGTTGAGTAGTGACAAAGTTATGGTCGTTTAAAGTTGGATGGTTTTCCGGCCGAATTTTCGGCCTTCTCCTTCGACAAACCCAGGCCATCCGGCCTTCTCTCACTCACGGGCCTTAGCCCGTTTTGGACCAACCCAATCCCCTGGCCCGTTTCTTTTTTTTATCTTTATTTATATTGTTTTAAAGACCCAAAGGGGCCTTGGGCCAATTCCTTTTAATTAGGGCCTAAAGCCCAGCCCTTTGGTGAGGCCTTAGGGCCGGCCTATGTGTGTGTGTGTTTGTGGTGTGTGTGTTTGGGTTTAAGCCCAAACCACATTTTTTCACCCTAACCCTTTTTATTCCTAGGCCTATCCAAAACCAAAAACCTTAGAAAACCCAAAACCCAATAGATCCTAATCCTATTTAACCTAAACCCTAATCCAGATTTCAAGCCTAAAACCCGTTAGACCTAATTTGACCGTTGACCCCCGGTCAACGTTGACTTTAGGGTTGACTTTTCGGGTTTTCGTCCGAGACCCTTCTTAGGGTAATTCGACGTTCTGAATCCGTTTTCAATGTCCGTTTTCCCAAATTCAATTGCTATAATAGAGTTTTATTAATTGGACTCTTTATGTGCTTAGGGGCAATTATCTGTGGTGTTTCTTCTTTGATAGGTTGCGTGACTCTTCGGCGGCGAAGTACTGTGAGTGGACCCCTTCTAAAAATGCATGTTTTAATAGTAGAAATGCATACATGAAAGACATGATTTAACAATTATGTTTTATAAGACGCTTTGAGATAACATGCTTACTAAGGCTAGTTTGAATTATTACTATTTTTCCTATAACCCATGTTCGTATAGAATATCCGATGGATGACGATATGATATTTAGAACATGTTCGAACACCTCTTTATAGTATAGATGATGGATGACTTTTATACTATGAAGTTGCTTTTCAATATATATATGTTCAGTGGTTTTGTACTTACCTAGTGGTCATTTCCGCTACGGGACGTAGGGATAGATTCTGGTCCGTCCCGGGCGACGGTTTGGCGTTGGCATAGGGCCTGGAGTGTGTTTCCTCTGGCTATTTAGCGAAGGGACGGGGGAGCCGGCATGGGGCCTGAAGTGTATTTTCCTCTGACTGTCTGCTCAGAGACGGGGAGCCGGCATGGGGCCTGGAGGTTATCGGACAATTCACTAGTGATTATTATATATACAAGTTATGATTTGAGATACTGCACATCATGCTAGGTTTCGGAAAACCTATGTTTATCATTATATATGTGTTTTCATAAAACCTGGGGGTTAGTACGTTAATAACTGTTTTATTATATATATCAACTTGGTCCACTCATGTTTGTTTTGCGCCCCCTTCAGGACTTAGAATCAAGGCATACAATCCCGGCATCCAGGCATTTCCGTATCGGCATCTTCGAGTCCTCTTGGTGTGGGACCCATTCTTTTATTCATTCAATTTTATATTATTTCTTTTAGTATTATAGTTAGTCGTATGCTCTGAACACGTTCCTTAAATGCAGATTCTTTATTCTTTTATATTTATATACCTTATCTATTTCTTGTTTTCAGCAATTGCACTCAATAAATGGCTTTCGTCACCCTCGGGTGTCGGCCAGCACATGCCTCTCCTGGTATTCGGGGAAATATCGGGATCGGGGCGTGAGATGCAAAGAGCCCAAAAGGAAGAAGAAGCTGCTGCTTCATTTGGTTAGTAATCATCCATCAAAGTAGTTGTTGTGTATTGTAACTATTTGAACTATATGTATAGAGAAGAATTATTCTATTTATATTTCTTATTCTATTATTTGTTGTGTATTGCTGTTGGGTGTATTTGGTTATTTGTTTGAGACACTTTGTAAACTCCCAATTGGTTGATAGTGGATTATTGGGTGAGCTCCTACTGCTCCGATGACGTACTCCAGTTACACTGACTGTTGAGGAACCTTGTTAAAATCTTGGTGTCTTTTATATTTTGTTCTTGCATTTTCAAATTGATATATTTCATGTGGGTTAGCTTGAGTTGGTTCCAACGGGTTTGGTGCTATCCTAGCACAACATAAATGAAAGATAGATATCTTGAAACTGTAACATTTTCACGTGTCTCCTCCCTCGCCTATTGTATTTTCACGTGTCATCTTTCTCGCCTATGGTGTTTTTACGTGTCACCTCTCTCGCCTATAGTGTTTTGACGTGTCCTCTCTCTCGCCTGTAGTGTTTTGATGTGTCCTCATTCTCACCTTTATTGTTTTGACGTGTCCATCTCTCCCTTTTCAGCTCTCTCTTTCCTTTTTGAGTGCTTGTGTTCTCTTCATTTTCTCTTTGTTTTCACGCCCTTTCTTCTATTTCTCCTCTCCTTCATTTTCTAATCAGAATCTGAAGCAAATCTTGCAGTGACTCTATGTGGGCAAGTATGAAGACACTAGTAGACTACGAGATGCTCTAGATCTCGCACCTTCATGGTAAGAAAAGGTGAAATGTCTTGTATGTACAAAAATGCATCTTCATAGTAAGACGGATTTTGAGTTTGAAGGCCTAAAAATAGATCCATGCTAGCTTGGCTCAAAGCAAACAAATCTTACTATGTGGATCGGGACATGACATATCTATTTGTTTTTTGTTATTATTAATTGAATTATTAGCTAATGATTTGTGATTATATCAATTGATGACAATTAGATGCA